CGCTGAGCTTTAGCATAGCAGAGCACAGCATAGCATAGAATAGTGTAGCATAGCATAGCGCAGCATAGCATATCATAGCATAGCCCAGCATAGCATAGCATTAGCATGGGTGTAATTCCCTACCTAGGCTCTGCCTAGAGGGTTAGCGCAGCTTAGCTTAGCATAGCGCAGCGCTGCATTAGCATAGCATAGCATCGCATAACATAGCCAAACATCGCATCGCATAGCATAGCATAGCATAGCGCAGCATACCATATCATAGTTTAGCATAACAAATCATAACATAGTGCAGCTTAGCATAGCATAGCATAGCATCACATAGCATAGCATAGCTTAGCATAGCACAGCGCAGCGTGTCATAGCATAGCATAGCATCGCATCGCATAGCATAGCTAGCGCAGCATATCATAGCATAGCATAGCATGGCATAGCATATTATAGCATAGCATGGCATAGCAACTAATGCTGCTTTCCTAGGGGCTCCAACTTCTAGGTAGGGTCGCACTGGGGTAATTTCAGAATGGGTTTCGTCATTGTCATGATGGCTCCGTCGGGCCAACCCGAGTCCCCCGAACCCGAGTCGTACGTCACCCCGAGAAGAGGAAGGGTGACGAGGCTGAGAAGCAGCCGCCGCCGCCTGGCTGCGGCAGGTGCTGGGACTGCTCCGGGGCGCGACCCTGGCGCGGGTGTCGCCGGACGTCGTCACCTTCGGGGCTGCCATGGGGGCCTGCGCGCAGGCCGGCGGGCAGAGGTCGGGGCAGCAGCCTGGCCACGATGATTTCTAGATCTGCAGTCGCCGCCCCTCACAGTGCAACTGGACATTGTTTGGGAGAGCCTTGTACACAATGCTTCGGACGAATGCCCGCGTACCGAAGCGTGTGTGTGTATACACATATATTTACACTTATACAAGATCATGTGCACATGTTTTTGTGTTCAAGCACACGTGTCGATATACATGTATGTATATATATATATATAGCAGTGCGCGGATGCATCACAGGCAACCAGTGTTGCATATCTCTGTACACTTATATATATGCATTCATCCATACACGCATACATACAAACACACATACATGCATGGATGTATGCATGCATGCATGCATGAATGCATACGTACACACATACATACGTGCGTGCGTGCATGCATACATACATACAGACATGCATACATGTATATACATATATGTTTTCCGATCTACCGACCGACCGACCGACCGACCGACCGGCCTACCTACCTACCTACCTACATACACACATACATACATACATACATACATCCATACATACATACATACATAACATAACATAACATACCATACCATACACCATACACCATACACCATACCATACCATAACATAACATAACATAACATATCATAACATACCATAACATAACATACATACATACATACATACATACATACATACATACATACATACATGCATGCTACAAACATACATTTACACATTCTATGCATTTACATGGTTGGGCAGCTCCCGAGCGAGCTTGCTCCGCTCTTACCAGAACGTATTTTCTTTCGATTTCGGCTTCAGGGGGCCGGTGTGATGCGATCCTGGGGCCTCTGGGGATTGTTGCTTTGATTGTGCTGCTAACCCAGAGAGCCGTTCGGGAACACACACACACACAAATACGCGAGGCGCCTTCCGGAGGAGGATCAGGAGGAGCCCACATGAGGCGGATTCGGGGGAGGAGCAGATTAGACAAGGGAGAGGGATACATAATTACCTGAAGCCTCTTCCGCCGCCTCGTTCTCCTCCGCTCCTCGCTGCCTCCCCCCCTTCTCCTCCGTTGTGCTGTTGCTGCTCCTCATCTCCCTCCACGTCCCCCTCCTTCTCCTCCTCCATGGCGCTGCTCCTCGTTTTCCGGCACCGCGTCACCTCGTGTGCTGTCTTCGCTGGTGATTATCATCAGTGTCCGTCTGTGTTACCCATCGTCAGCGTTGCTACTCATCCTACCCCCGTGTCTGCCTCCTTCTCCTCCTGCTTCGCGCTGCTCCTCGTTTTCCGGCACCGCCTCACCATATGTGCCCGTCGTGTCCTTCCTTTTGGTCTTCAGTGTCCGTCTCCGTTGCCCATCGTCAGCGCTGCTCCTGCTCCTTGGGTGTCCTCCTCAATTTGCTGCGACTCATCCCCTGTGCTGCTCCTGCCCCTCCGCCTCCGACTCTGCCTGCGTTGCTGGCGTGGTCCTGCTGCAGCCGTGCCTCTGGGCATCGCCTCCCTGTAGTGAACAGCACCATCGCAATCCACGTTTTCCTTTCTGGGAAGGGGAGAAGGAGGAGAATGAGGAAGAGGATGATGATGATGATGAGGAGGAGGAGGAGGAGGAGGAGGAGGAAAATATGAGAAGGAGGAGGAGGAAGGGAAAGAGGAGGGGGGAAGGAGTAGACGAGGAAAGACAAGGGAAACGGTCGGCGGAAACTTTGGCTTCGCATGTCGCGGCGCCACTTCTGGCCCAACACGCTTCGGCGCGACGCGCTACCCACGTCTTGGTCCTCGACCGTCAATGCTCCCAGAGGTTGTCTCAGCCTCCCGCCCCGCGGAGCTGAGCGACACGCTATCAGCTCGCACGGCATGGCGTGTCGCTGGAGCTGCCGCCGCGACGCGCTAACCAAAAGCCCGTAACCGTGTAAGAGGGGGAAGGCGGAGAAGCGTGGGAGAGAGGAGAGGCATGATGAAGAGGAGAAGGAGAAGACCGCCCGAGAAATTCACGGTCTGGGGGGCAAGGTCAGAAACACGCTGCTGATTTACCGGCAAGCACTCAGGATTGCAATGCTTGGGCGAGAGCCGTTGCCCAGCACTGCGCATGCTAGATATGTCCGCGCGCGTTTCGGCGGATGACTTGAGATGCGATGGGGTGCGAGAAGGAGATGTGGAGGTGGTGGAGCAGACGGATGAGGAGCAGCAAGGAGCTCGAGGCTAGCAGGCGATCTCGTGGGGGGGGGGGGTAGCTCTTGGCCCCGCGGCAGGGCCGCCACTGGGAGCTCGTGGTCGGCCTGGCGGGCGAGCTGCGCGGCCTCGGGCTCAGGGCGAACGCCGTCGTGCACAGCACCCTGCTGCTGGCCCTGGACCGGGGGACGCACTGGACGAGCGCATTGGAAGTTGCGGAGGATCACACCCCGGAAGAAGACCTATGTGTCGCAAGCGTTCGGAGGTCCGCGCGAAATTCTTGGACCGGCGCTGGAGCCCCACTGGCGCGCCGTGGAGGGGGGTCCATCGCAGGTCCAAGGATATTCGCGCGGACCTCCAGCAGGTTCTGGTTGCACATCTGTTCTGTGTTGTACCCGGCTGTGCGTATGAGAGTAATCCTGTGCCGGAGTGGTGATATTTGGCGCACTGTTTTCCAAGGTCGCCCTGGAGGATTTTGGATTGCGCGGTCGCTGAAACCGAGGCCTGTCGACAGTGGGCGGCGCTACAACTAGCAGAATATTGAGCCATACTAACAGTTCTGTGCGGGCATCAAGTAGACAAGTACAGTACAGTACGATGGGACCTCGCGACAGAGCGGACGGAACGCGCGTCGTACCGAAGCAAGGAGTCCAGACCCTCCCAAACCTCATCCTCACTGCCCTCCCCCAGAATAGGCGACTGGACGGCAAACGCGAAAGGCGGCGACAAGTGATGACGTGCTGTGCCTCGTCCAGGGCACTCGGGGGGAGGGATGGAGGGAGGGAGGGATGATGATAATAATGAGCCGAGTAGGAAGAGTGAGACTGGGACATTGTGCCCGAAACTCCAGCTTGGAAGAGCCTGCGCGACGGGCCTCGGGACGAGTCGCTGCCGCCGTGGCCGGGCAGAGAGCAGCGAAACAGAACGCGGTCGGTCCTGGTCTGCTGCTCTCAGCGTGACCCTGGTCACCAGTGCAACAATCGATCGATGATACACAATGCATCTGTGAAAGTGGAGGCATCTTCGCAAACGCACAGCACACAAAGAGATACACAGCAGCACGGTTATCTACACGCAATCGTCGGAGGCTGTGCCGAGCAGACAAGGAGGGGGCACCAGAGGAGCCTCTAGGGTCCCACAGAGCCCCACGAGGCGGGTCCAGCGCGGCCCGCCGCCCTACGGCCTCATCCACCAGGCGCCGCAGCTCGCACGCCCGGAGCCAGCAGTCCTGCACCAACGAGGAGTACGGGTCCGCCTTCTCCATCCTGGACAGCATGGACTCTGCCTTGGACAGGTTCTGCGTAAGGAGGCGGACCGCTCCGTCCGCCTCCTGGATTTCCGTGGCAGGCTTCACGATCTGCACCCTCTGCATCGCCGACCGCCGAGGCGAAGCCGCCTCATGTCGAGCAGCCTCTGGGGCAGCGTCGGCAGGATCGGCTCGCAGAGTATCGGCATGCGCCGGCGCTGCCAGCGGCGGTGCACCGGGAGGTGCGGCCCGTGGACGTACAGCGTCGGTAGTCTCACCTTTGCGCAACTCTGGGACGGACTCGAAGGGCGCAGCGGGCGCCGTCACTGCATCCGCGGTAGCCGCGGCGACCAGCAGGCAGAGGAGCGCCAGCACGGACATGAGGAACATCCACAGGGGGACCCTTGCCAGCCGGAGTGACCTCTCCACGATCTCGTTGTCGTCGTCGTCGTCGTCGTCGCCGGCGTCGTCGTCGTTGTCGTCGAATAGTCTGCGCACAAGGAAGGTGCGCGGCGTGGGCAGCTCGCGCCACCGCGGCCACGTCCCAGCAACGAGCGGGGCGGTGGTGGCGGGCGGCCCGGCCCAGCTGGCGGAGTGCCAATTGGACCTCGTCCGAGGCCGTGGCGCGGCTGCCCGCGTACGCCTGAGTGCAGGCGGAGCCCAAATTTGTACAGTTTGAGGCCCCCGCCGGGCGAGCCTTCGCCCTGGGGGGGAGGGAGGGGGGGCAAATCCGAACTCGCAGGTCTCTACTGTCGCATCGCATGCAACGATGGGCAAGTCGCGCACCAAAGGTCACCTTTGCGTAGGGCCACTCTTATGCGTCGCCGACATAACCCACAATGCGCCCCCCGCCCCCCCGACCACGACTGAGAAGTAGGCTTGCCGAATGGATGCCGCGTCTCTGGGTGGGATTTGATCACGCTCGAGCATCAGCCTCGAAGGCCGCCGAAATCTCCCCCCCCCAGTGTTCCCGGTTCACCGCCTGCCAGGGATGCCTGAGGGTACACCCGTCGGGTGCGGATGTGTTTTTTTTCTGGACCATCAGAGGAGATGTTGGGGAGCAGCCCGTGTGGCTCCAGCTCCGAGGTCGTACTCGTTCGCGCGCGCTCGCCTCTACTTCCTGTGGGGCGCGCTCCACTGTTGCCGCGGCAGGGCGCGGCGAGACGAGGTGGCGGCATCAAGAATGAGCCCTCGAATGAGCCAATGCCCTGATGTTGGCCAGTGAGCAGATGCAGAGCGGGGTGTTGCAGGAATAATGGCTCCCAGTGGACCTGTTCAGGGAAACAACTTTGGACTGCAATGACTTCTGATGTATTTGCGGTGTGCGCGTGAACAAGTGTGAGATGTTGGCGGTGCGCAGACGTTGGTGGCGCGAGGGGGGAGGGGGGCTTCTAAGAAGTCGGGGGGGCCTCTTGGATGGCAGGGGCCTTCTCAGGAGGGCCCCGGGGGCCTCTGCGGAGGCCTCTTGGACGCCCGGAGGGCTTCGAAGGAGGCCCCCTCGCCTGCTTGGAAGCTCCCCCCCCCGCGCCCGCGGGGAGCGTCGCCGCCTTCGCGCCCTCCCGTCCTGTGCGCGCCGCCGAAGAGTGCTTGGGACACCCGGCCCCGGCGCCCGCCCCCAGCCGGCGGGCTGCCCGGCGCGGCGCCGACCAACACGGCGTTCGGGGGCGGTCAAGAGCGGGGTGATGACCAGGGGGGGGGGGTGGATATCATGGCGGGGGCCGCGATATCTCCCCAGATTTCACGGCGCCCCTCCTCGTTTCCACAGGTCCCTGGGCCCCACCCCCTCGGCCGCGCACCCCTCTTGGGCGCCCCCTTCCTTGGACGCCCCCCGAGGCGTACAACGCGTCCCTCACCGTGCTCGGGAGGAGGCGGCAGTGGGCACGGGCCCTGCACGTCGCGGGCGCGATGCGGCGCAGCCGGGGCCTGCCGGACAGGATCACGTACAGCCTGCTGATGAGCGCCCTGGAGAAGGTCAGGGGCACATGGGGTTGATGGGCCTGTTTTCCACCACCACCACCATAAGTTGGAGGGGGAGGGGGTCCTCCTCCTCCTCCTCCGCCTCCTCCTCCTCCTCCTCCTCCTCTTCGTCCTCCTCCTCCTCCTCCTCCCTGGAGAAGGTCAGGGGCACATGGTTAAACGACGCGAAGATCGGGACAAAATCGGATTGGGATAACTCGAAATCTCTGAGAATCGGCGGGTTTGGAGGATGTATTGGGCGCCGCGGCCGCTCCAGAGCGTTCCGGAACGCTCTGAGAGCGCTCCGGAACGCTCTGGAGCGATTTATCCCGATCCTTGCCCTGTTTTACATGGGGTGGGTGACAGGCTCGGGGAGGGGCGCATCGATCCCCAATCGCCCCTCCATCGCCGAGAGAGGCCCGCCAGCCCCAACGCAGCCCAAGAGGCATCGGGAGCGCTTCGTCGATCCATCGGCGATGCATCGCCGATTCCAGGGTTTCCCCCCTGGGCTGGCCCCCCCTGTAATGTCAACTACCCTGGGAATTGGAAAGGAAGAGCCCCCCTCCCCCCAGCACCCGCCCCTCTCAGGGGGCGAAATCAGCGCGCTTGGCGGCGAAAGACTTGGTATTCTCCCCTCGTGGTTGCGGCGGCTACAGAGTTGCCGCATTCCGTTTCTGCCGCTTGCTGGGATTCGCGGAAGGTCGAGATGCGCGGTTTCCGCGATCTTGGCTCGCATCTACTCCCCAATCAGAGCTTGCCTCTGTAGGGGTCCTACCGGATTCATATGGTTAGGTTAATTAGGTTTGCCCCCGATTTTCGCCGCACGCCCGGGTGCCCGGGTGCCCGCCCGGTAGCCCTATAGCCTTATAACCCTAGAGCTTTATAGCCTTGTAGCCCTATAACCCTATAGCCCTCTAGCTCTATAGCCCTATAGCCCCAATAGCTTTATAACCGTATAGCCCTAATAGCTCCATAGATTTATATCCTTATAACCATATAGCCATATCGCCCTATAGCCCTATAGCCCTCTAGCTCACCAGCCCTCTAGCCCCATAGCCCTATAGCCTTATAGCCCTATAGCCTTTTAGCTCCATAGCCCTATGTCATTAAAAAAGAGTATGATTGTTTTGCTTGTGTTTTGCTTATGCATTTGTTGTATAATTGTTTATGGCAGTCAGCGGGGACCCCCCAACAGTCAGTGCTTGCAAGTCGTCGAATTCTATTCATTGTTTTGCCGATCGGCGCTGGCCCTCGCCCCCCCCGTCTCCCCCCGCGGCGTAGATCCTGGTTGTTTTTGGCGCCTGTGTCACGCAGTCGGACCCCCCCATAATGGACGCACGGTTGCAAATAGTGGCTTTCAGCAGAGGCCTGGAGCCAGACACCCCCCTCCCCCTTTCCGCCTAATGTCGAAACGCCGGAAAGCATTCGCCAATTAGCGCGGCGGAATGTAGGTGGTGCAATCAAGATGGTGCAATCTAGGTGGTGCAATATATGTGGCGGAATATGTGTAGCTTCACGCAGAGCGCTGCACACCAAAGGCACGCAATGCAAAGTATTGCAAAGCATTGTAAAGCATTGCAAAGCAACGCGTGCCAAAGCAGAGCAATGCACACAGTGCAAAGACATGCAAACCAATGCAGCACAATGCAACGCAGTGTATATCAATGCAAACAAAGCGCTGCAACGCAATTCAAAGCCATGCGAAGCACTGCGACGCAACGCAACGCAATGCACATCAGTATAACACAATGCGATTGCAATTGCAACGCAATGCGATTGACCAGCAATTCAATGCAATGCGATGCAATGCAATTGCAACGAAACGCAATGCGATTGGAATGCAACAGGGTGGGTGGGTTGCTGAGGGGTGCAACGGGGCGACACCGGCGGGAACGGGGCCGCCTGGGCGGCAACCCGATTTTTGATCCGAAACACTTGGGCAGCGACGGACGGGAAAAGGGGCCGACAAGGTGGCAAACGAGCCCAGCTCCCTAGATGGCACGTAAGAACCCCCAAGTCCCAAGGACATGCGCTGTTTGGGGGGATCTACGCATAGATGTATGAATCAATTCAAAGATATTGGACTCACATAGACTTCTCGCCCCCTCTCCCGAAGGAGCACCAGTGGCAGCGCGCGATTGGCCTCCTGAGCGAGATGCGGTGGTGCGCCCTGCACGTCACCTCGGTGGGCCTCGCCGCCGCGCTCGGGGCCTGTCGGCGGGGCTTGCGGTGGGCGCTGGCGCTGGCCGCGCTGGCGGACGTGCGCGGGGCGATGCCGCCAGACGCGCCGTCCTACATCCCCAGGGGCTCCGAAGCGGTGTCTGGACGAGGGGGGGCATTCGGACGCACCCATATCGAGAATGGACGCCCTCGAGTTGGGCCCACATGCGTTTTTCCATTCGGAAGCAAGACAAAGTTGGGGATTGGGGTTGCCGCACCCCCCTTTAGAGAGTGAGCGGCTGTGCTTCAGGCGAAGAGTGGTAGCAGCGACTGGGCTGCTTTTGCCTCGCCAGTTCATAGCGCGTGGGTTGAGGGAGTCGGACGAGGATGGGGGCCAGGGGAGGTGGACGCAGCGGGAGGAGGGAGGGTGGGGGAATGATGGATGGGGGAGGCGGAGAAGGGCGCAGGGAGAGAAAGAAGGATGATGAGGCAGGAGGAGGCTGCAGGAAGGCATGGTATCTGGGTCAGAGGACGAGGAGGGCAGAGGAGGGCGGAGGATGCTGAATGCATGGGGGAAGAGGCGGAGAGGGAGGAGCAGGAACGAGGACGAGGAGGACGAGGACGAGGCAGACGAGGACGAGGACGAGGAGAGAGGACGAGGAAGACGAAGACGAGGCAGCAGGGAGGAGGGAGGACGAGGAGCAGCAAGACGAGCCGCAGGGCAGGCGCAGCAGCCGTGGGGGGACGAGGGCGGAGGAGGGAGAGCCGCTCCCGCGCGCCGCCTCGGAGCTCCTGGCGCAGCGCGGGGCCGGGGGAGTCAGTCCGCGCAGCGGGCAGGCAGTGGCGAAGCGTCCTGGCTCGCCCATATCCCTACCAGACAATGTTCTAAGAACCTCTCTGTGGTTTCATCAAAATGTGCTTAGAACATTTCTGGCCGGGACTGTCTTGTTTTAGCACGTCGGGTTTATGTTCTAAGAACATTGTTTTTGTTCTTAGAACATTTTTGGGTTCTAAGAACATGTCGTGGTATGACTATAGGAATGCCGGGACGGTCGGTCCCTGCTCAAGGCAGGCCCCCTTTGCCCGCCTGTGCTCGGGCATCTCGAGAGGGGTACGGACGCGTCGGCGGCGGCGACGACGACGGCGGCGGCGGCGACCAAGACGACGGCGACGACGACAGCAAAGTCAGCGGCGGCGCCGGCGGCGACCGCCGCGGGGCCTTCTCTTGGCCCCGCTCCTTCCTTCGAGCTCGCCTCCCGCCGCGCGGCCGCGCCGCGAGTGCGCCGCCGCCGCCGTCGCACTTCGTCGTTTTCACTGAACGGCGCTTTACCAAAGGGGGTTCTGTCCATCCCCGATCGTCGTCGGGACAGAGATCGCATGCCCTGTTCTCTTCGAACAGGTTTCGCTAGCAGTGTCGTCGCGGGCGCTGTCCATTCGAGACTGAGGGCCGCCTTCCCACTAGCGTGCCCGCCTTTCGTGTACCTATGTCTGTGTGAATGAGTTTCTACGTCCAGGGGTTGAGTCAAGACGCTGAAACAAGAACCGCTGTCGGCTCGGGAGGGGCTCTGGTTTGCCGGCTGCTCCTTAGCTTCACGTCGAGGGTCGAGGGACCATTCGTGGCCGAGGCTCGCCCTGGCCAGAGGAGCCCCTTTGGTTTTCCCTCAGCGTTCCGCGGTAAGTTTATGGGCCACGCGGATGCAGGCGCGCCGGCTCCATCGCGCCTCGTGGTCTAGAACCTGAGAGCTGCCCATCTCCATGAAGGCTGCAAGAGGGCGTGAGGAGAAGGTGCGCAGTCGAGTGATTTGGGAGAGTCCGTGCATACCACGGAAGCTCAGAGGAGGAAAAGGTACCCCTACCGTTGCCCTTCCCTCGTTTTCCCCTCCTCGTTGCCACCGCTGGGTTCGCTTCGAAATTCTGGTCAAAACACACCCCGGGAGAGGTCCGTGAGGATCTCCCCAGGGAAGTTGCCCCCCGACCCCAGGTCGCAGGTTGCCCCCGACCCCAGACCCCCGACGCCTTGATGTCTGTAGCAACGCGGGCCCCTGGAGATCTCGACCCATTCTCCAGATCACGTGTTTCATCCTACGCAGGTTTGTGTCGGTTCCTTGACGTCCCAGCAAGGGCCGCTGTGGGCCGAACATTGGCAAACATCTGCCGCCGTTATTTTTGTTCACGTCGCGAGGAGGTGTGCGACCAGCGCGATCGCCTCGCCATACAACCTCGAGGACCGCAATGATGCGGATCTGGCCCCGAACCGCGTTGAAGAAAATCATGAGTGCGAAGGCCTACGATCCGTCTTCCCAAAACGTGTTGCTGTGATCGTCCTTCCTCCTGAAACCCACCGCCCACCAAACCACCCCAACCCAACCCGAAGGCCCCCACTTGCCCCCCATCCCCAGTGGGGGAGGGCGGGGGGGGTGGATCGAAGTCGACCTTGCCAAAACAAGCGTGGAACCCGCATCACATCGCCCAGGCCGAAACTTGGGCTTTGTCGGGATGCGCTAGGGCGGCCTGGTAGGCAGATCCCCCCCCCGCCGGGAGACGTGGAGGGGAAGGGGGGAGGGGAAAGGGAGGGGAAAGGGAGGAGGAGGAGAAGGAGGAGGAGAAGGAGGAGGAGGGAGGGAGGGAGGGAGGGGAGGGGATGGGAGGGGAGGCAAGCTAGGTGCGCTCGCGTCATACCTGACATCCTACCCCTCCCTCCCATCCCTTACCATGGCGCAGATCCCCTCTCTACTCGCACAGTCGGATGTCGAGCAGGGCAATGATCCCGAAAGGGTACGCGATACATTGTAGAGCACGGCATGGCATGGCGTAGAAGAGCACCGCGAAGCGTAGTATCAACCTAGCATTGCATTGAATGCCGTGGCATGGCACGGGAAATGACGCCAGCGCTGCAGCGGGAGCACGAGTCGAAACGAGCGGAAGCGCGGAAATGAGGCCAGCGTTGCAGCGGGAGCACGATTCGGAACGAGCGGAAGCACGGAAATCATGCCACCGCTGCAGCGGGAGCACGATTCGGAACGAGCGGGGCCCGAAAATGAGGCCGGCGCCTCAGCGAGAGCAGCATTTTGGAACAACATGCAGGCGAAAACCGAATTCCGGGGAAACCTGTGCAACAAAAACAGTACGCGGGGGGGTGTCGAGCACTTTCAAACCGTCATCAGGGGAAGAGGGAGAGCAGTATGCATATTGAATAATTGTGGAGGGGAAGGGGAGGGGAGGGACGGGGCGCCCTCGCCGCTCGTCGGACCCGCTCGGCCCCGGAACGTGGCGCTGCTGGGCGCGTGCGAGGCCGCCGGCCGCCACCGGCCCGCGGCAGCGGCGGCCGCGGCCGCCCGCCGGGGAGCGCGCGGGCACCTGCTGTCGCGGGCCGGAGGAAAGGGGGGGATAGACTTATGTCGGGCGTGTCCCCCTACAGAGGAATTGTCGACGAAAATTTTAGACTCCAAAAATACCTCCAAAAGGTCAAATAATACCCCGAAAATAGTCCCCAGACTATTTTTTGATTATCTTGGGTGTATTTCTTTGTTTTTCGTCGAAATTCCTCTGAAGGGGGACAGGCCCGATTTAAGGATAGGGGGGGTACGAAATTCTAGGCCTCCTAGATGGGGTCCGAGTAAAGTGGGCCGGAGGATCGCGCCGCATCGGCGATGCGGCTTGATGTGGGGCCCGATTTTCTCCACGCCGACGTTGCCGATGCACCGCCGACGTCGGACGAAATGGGGTGTGTGTGTGTGTGAAAATGGGGGTTACGAAATCTCGGGAAAACTGTAATATACATTACCTGTGGCGGGCTGTCCTTCGACCCCAGGACTTTTCTGAGGGTCGGGGACGACGTCGGGGTGGTGTGGTGTATACTTTTTACCCTTATTTCCCGGGGAAACAACGAAACATGTATACACCAGGATCCCGTATACACCAGGATCCGTTCTCCTGCGCGCATTTCTGTGCGGGGCCGGAAAAAAAGCATCGGTGTATAAAGTTCAGTTCCCTAAAACCGAGAGGGCCCTTCCTCGACACATGGGCGCCTCCAGCGCCGGGAGGCGCCTGGAAAATCAGCGACGCGAGCCGATTCTCCCCCCCCCTCCCCCTTTGTTATCCCCCCCTGTCGCCCAGCCCGACCGTCGCCCTGGCGCGAGCGCGGGGCGCCCGGCGGCGACGAGCCCGCGCTCGCGGCCGCCGTGGGCGACCTGCTGGCGGCGGCGGGTGCGCCGCTGGGCGCCGCCGAGGCGGGCGCGCTGCCTCCACGGCGGCGGGGGGGTCGCCCAGACGCGGCAGTGGCCTCTCGCCGGAGCGACCTGTGGTGCGAGCCCCAAGGGGGCCCCCCGATGGCGGAGCGCGATGCGATGGCAGCGTCTTGCGCGCTGGTGTTTGGTCCCCCAGGGCCCCCCCCCAGGAAGCCGCGCACCAAACGTCACTCTTACCCAGGGTCGCTCTTTCGTGTAGTCGAGTGTATCCTCCACGGCGGGGGGCGGACTCGGTAGCAAATCAGCGGAGCAGGTCTCCGCAACTTCGTTGATCCAGTGCAGTAGTGTGCGTTGTCGTGAAAGCGCCGACCTAGCGTCGATTTGAAATCGATGAGGGTCGATAAGCGTCAACGACCGTCGATCAGTGTCGGTTGGCATCGGTTCGCAAGATCCAGCAAGACGGCACGGGAGGCTCCTGCGAGTTGCCACCGAGGTTTGGGGCGTTTCTGGCCTTGGGGGGCCTCGCCCGGCTCCACACGGCGCGGTGGCCTCACCGTGTGTTGAGTCAGTGGGGATTCGGGGTGACCGCACGGTTTCGGGACTGGGCTCTGGGTTTCGGAGCAATAACCGCACGATTCGCCGGGAGGTGTTGGGGCATGTTTGCATTCTAGCGTTTCGCGAGAGGGTGTAAGAACGGACCACACAAAAGTCCCACAGGGGGGATGGATAGCGGTAGAGAAGGATCGCAGCAACGTCTCACAGGGGGGTCAGAGAGCCTTCGACAGACAAGTCAGGCAGCCGTTCCTGTTTATAAGAGGAATCGCGATTTCTATCCCAGAACCGCTCCCTCGCATCCTGGCCAGCTACGCCTCGCTCGCCCTCGGAGGCCTCGGCCAGTAGGCCGCGCTCCCGCGGGAGACCGTCGTCGTCGTCGTCTTCTTCGGTCGTCTTCTTCGCGTCGTCGTCGTCGCGCCGCCGCCGCCGCCGCCGCCGCCGCCGCCGCCGTCGTCGTCGTCGTCGTCGTCGTCGTCGTCGTCGTCGTCGTCGTCGTCGTCGTCGTCGTCGTCGTCGTCGTCGTCGTCGTCGTCGTCGTCGTCTCCGGCGGCGGCTCCCGACACATCTTCTCGGCGGGGCCGGGCTTCGGCCCCTCGGCCGGTCGCCTCCGGGGGTGGACGGGCCTCGCCCGCCCTCCGCGCGGGGGGGGATTGGGAAAGGGGGGGGGCTACGAAATCTCGGAAAAACTGGAACACATACCCAGAGATCCAACGCACTGAAAAAATCAAAACGGAGGTTTCTCTTAATTTTGGGCCTCTAGGGGCCCTCGCCGGGCCCCGGGACCGTCAAAAAACGACTCAGGATGACAAAACGGTCTTGGGGAACGGGTCGAGACTTCGGGCGACCGCGCATTGAAAAAATCACGACGTCGGATCTCTGGGTACATCACCAGTGGCGGGCTGTTCTTCGATCCCAGGGCTTTTCTGAGGGTCGGGGCCCGCCCTCGGAGGCCTCGGCCGCGAGGCCGCGCCCCGGGCAGGGCAACGTCCCCTCGGCGGGCGTTGCCTCGCCCGGCCGGCCTCGGCCGCGAGGGCGCGCGGCTGCCGCGGGCCCGCCTGCTCGCCCCAGCGGCGCAGCGGTTGGCGGCGCTGGCGCGCCGCGCGCCGCCGCGGGGTGCGTCAGGCCCCGGGGCGGCCGAACCTGCACGAGGACGAGGAGGACGAAGAGGACGAGGAGGGGGGGACGAGGGCGACGAAGAGGAGGCAGCAGGGAGGAGGGAGGACGAGGAGCAGCAAGACCCCCTACAGGGGGATTTTCGACGAAAAATACAAGACAGCCCAAAAGTGCACCAAAAATGCCAAAAATTGCTCAAAAAATAGTCCCCGGACTATTTTTGGAGCACTTTTGGATTATTTTGGTGTATTTTTTCATTTTTCGTTGAAAATTTCCCTGTAGGGGGGACAGGCCCGACTTAAGGCTCGAGCCGGACGAAAGGGGCGGATTGGGAAAGGGGGGGTTAAGAAATGTGCTGCATGCAGCTGGTTTCGGCCTCACCGAGGGGCCCGTTCCTCGACACATGGCCGGGAAAAACAGCTACGTGAGCCGATTCTCAATTCCCCCCCTTCGCTATCCCCCCCTTTCGCCCGACCCGATAGGCGCCGCGAGAGTGGGAAGTCGGCCTGCCAGAAGGTGCGCCCACAGACGTGCGACGGCTTACCATCGTTGTTATGTTGTCATTGTTATGTTTATTCATAACATCTGTCTTATTTTGAAACAGAACGTCGCCCTCCAGGGGCCCTCGCCGGCCGGGCCCCGGGCCCGCCACATTCGAAATGAAGAGCCAGCCCTGCTAGGGAGAGGGTCGGGACTTCCGGGGGCCGCGTGCTGAGCACATCAGCACGTCGCATGTCTGGGCCACGGCGATGTCTGGAATGTCCGATCCCCCGGGTGGCCCCGGAGGCCGCAGACACCCCCGGGGCGCCGCAGGCGGCCCAGACGATCGACGACACACGTGCCCCTCGCCCTGCGCAGCCAAGGTGCTGAAGTCAAGACCACTTTGGGCTCAGCGGGAACTTCGTTTTCCGAGCCGAGCCGTGGGCCCGGGTCGGGGAACCTCCGTGTGGCCGAAGCTCGCCGCGGTCAGAACAGCCCCTGCGTTCCCCAGCTTGCGCTTCCTTCTGTCAGCACGCTGGCTGTGGGATTCTGGTGGCCAGATCTCGACCCATTCCGTGACGACCCCATCGCTTCGCTTTGAGACGTGGGGTCAGGCGGCCAGAGAGGGGCCTTGGGAGCGAAGGGGGCCGTCACGGAAGGGGATCGTCACGGGAGGGGTCGGTTTGGCCGCGTTCGGCAGGCGACACGCAGTTGCGCGAGGTGGACCGGCTCGGCGCCTCCCCCACCAGGCTCAGACGAGGGGGGGGTGCCTCCCTCTTTGTCCGAGTCCCACCCTGATTTGACATCCTCGCTCCGTGGAAGGATCGGAGCACGACAGGGTTTGCCAGTCTTCGACCTTTGAGGGACCTGGCTGGGGACGGAGGGGGTCCAGACCTCCTTGTGGAGCTACGTTGAGAGAAAATTCTTGCAGTTGACCCTGCCCTCCTTCCTCTTCCCTCCCTCCACCTTTTGATATCATTTCTCATGTCATGCGCGCAACTGCTGGACTGCAGTCAAGAAGCCATCCCCTGACCTCCCTCCCCCATTTCACTGGCCAGGGGCAGCCGAGTGCCAAAGGGGACCCATGGCACAAATGGCAGAGGGATCGCTGCCCACGCCCAGCCGCGCCTGGAGCTGGTCCTCGTCTTGCCCCGAGAGCCCCGGCGCCGCGATGCTGATCGCAGCGCGCACACCAGACCTCTCCACGCCTTCCCTGGGGAGTCTGCCTCGTCCCGGAGCATCTGTGCCGTGCCATCCCCAGAGGACCGGCAAGACTCAGGAAAGGCGTTGGCTGTCTGGGTCCGCGCGAGCGGCCCGCTGGCCGCCTCCCTCGTGCTGCTTGCTGCTCCCTCCTCCTCCCCTCTTTTGGCTCTCTGTGGAGGGACGTCGTCGGCATGCCCCTGCGCCGCACCTGAGAGCGTCGAGTGCATATCGAACGAGTAACTACACGCTTTCACACACCATTCACGGACCTGTCTACAGCCAGCTTCGCGACGATCTCTTCGCAGGCAGGCGCTCCACGACGTGGCCGGGATGCTGATCTGAGGCGTGAGCAGAAAGCATTATTGCATGCACCCCGTTCCACAGCAAACCTTGCGACGAGCTGTCCGCAGTCAGGCGCTGCACGATGTGACAGCGATGCTGATCTTGGACCTGTTGGGCACGCCTCGGTGCCCCCGGCCCTCTGGGGTCCAGATGGGTCAGCAGTTCCGCCAGCTTCGCCCTGGCGCGCTCCGCTTCGAAGCCCAATGTGATGGAGCGCACCACCTAGAGCGGGGCCCCAAGGGCGCCTGCGGCCCTCTCCTCTCGAGCTCCTCCTTCTTCTCCTCCTCCTTCCCTCTTTTCCTCCTGCCACCAGCGACGACGCGGACAGCAACCCGCCACACGACACAATTGCGGTCCCAGACATGCGATTGCGACGACGTCACCGCAAATGTGTCCCTGGGCCGACTACATTCAGCGTGCTACGTGGCGGGCAGAGCATCTCAAGGAGCACCACGGGAGCAACAGCTAGGGGACTATTCGTAGGCAGAGGTAATGGCTTAAGTCTGCAAGTGCTGCAAACCAGATGCGCATACGGAGGACGTGTAAAGCATTACACGGGCGCCCGGGGGAATGCCCACGACAACGAGGTCAACGACAACAAAGCGGCCAGCGACAGCGGTTGCACGCTGACATCACCTGTTACTTCCAGCATGAAGACCCGACTTGCAAGTACCCAGCGCCGGCTCCAGCCGCCGCAAGATGCGGACCGAATGACCTCACGGGGTATCAGACGGTTTAAGACATACCCGCTTGGTCGACATTTGAAACACATGCACGCACAATCCGTGATAGTACGCAACCGACTTACGAATGCAGTCGCTGGCATCCACGACCATGCTTGTCCAGACCTTCTGCCGTTCGGTTCTCCTTTTGGATAGAGCAGTGTGGTCTCCACCTCCTCCTCCTGGGTACCTCTTTCATTGCTCTTTCTCTGTCTCTCTCTCTCTCTATCTCTCTACGGTAGGTTCGTGTGGTGTCGACCGGCGGCGACCCCGCCGGCGGCGTTCAACGTTGAACGCCGCGGGCGACCCAGAATCGTTCGAATTGGAACGATTCGGACGTTTCGGAAACGGCCGATCGTCCAAGGTTGAACGATCCCCGCGGAGTCAAAAACCTACGCCGAAGTCGGCACGACACGAACCTACTCTATCTCTCTCTGATTGTTTCTTTCGCCCATCCTGCGAGATTGTCGCCACCTTCGAGGGCTGCTGGGGGTGCCCGCACAGTTGGGCCCCACTTCGGATTCGGACTAGGCCTCGCCATCCCTGGGGCTGCGATCTGCGAAACCGTCGCTCCTTGGGGCTCATTGGGCTCCTCGGGGCCATCCCTGGGGCTGCGATCTGCGAAACTGTCGCTGCGATCTGCGATCTGCGATCTTAGGGGAACAAAATGTGGCATAAACATAAAAACTCGGAGGTCCGCGCGGATTTCTCGGATCGGCGCTGGACCCCCCTCCCTGGCGCGCGGAGCGCGCCAGGGGCGGTGCCGGAGGCGCCGCCGAGGGGCCCCGGCGCCGATCCGAGAAATCCGCGGGGAACTCCGAGTTGTTTTGTTTATGTCATTGTTCTTTCTTGTAGATCTGCGAAACTGTCGCTCCGTCCGAGGCCTGCTGGGGGGGGAAGCACAGTGGGGCTTCGTTTCATGTTCATACTAAACCTCGCCATCCCTGGGGCTGCGATCTGCGAAACTGTCGCTCCTTCAGAGATCTGCTGGGGGGGGCTAAGCACAGTGGGGCTTCGTTTCAGGCTCATGCTGGACCTCGCCATCCCTGGGTCGGCGGCTGCGATCTGCGAAACGGTTGCCACTTTCGAGGGCTGCAAGGGGGCCAGCACGATGGGGCCCCAATTGGGCTCAGGTTAGACCTCGACATCCCTGGGGGGCTGCGGTTTGCGAAACCCGCCAGCCCTTTCGAGGGTTGCTGGCCAGGGGGCCCCATTCGGAATCGCCATCACTGGGAAGGGGGTTGCGATCTGCGAAACTGTTGCTATTGTCGAGGGCTGCTGGGTGGGGGCCAGCACAGTGGGGCCCCATTCGGATCTAGATTCGACCTCGCCATCCCTGGGGGCTGCGATCTACGAAACGGTTGCCACTTTCGAGGGCTGTGGGGTGGGGGGGGCAGCACAGTGGGGCCCCATTTCGGATTCAGACTAGACCTCGCCATCCCTGGGGGCGCTGCGATCTGCGAAAGTGTCGCCATCTCCGAGGGCTGATGGGGAGCAAGCACAGTGGGCCACCATTCTGGATCCAATCCAGGTTGGACCTCGCCATCCCCGGGGGGCTGCGATCTACGACATTGTCGCCACGTTTGAGGCGGGGGGGCAAGCACAGTGGGGCCCCATCCCATTCGGATTCAGATTAGACCTCGCCATCCCTGGGGAAGGGGGCTGCGATCTGCGAGGCGAAACTGTCGGCACTTTCGAGGGCTGTTGGGGGGGGGAACCATAGGGGGGCCCTACTCAGATTCAGATTAGACCTCGCCGTCCCTTGGGGGCTGCGATCTGCGAAAGTGTCGCCGCTCTCGAAGGCAGATTTGGGGGGGGGAGGGGGGTAGCGCTGCGCAGGCCGCCTCTGGGGGGCTTGCGACCTGCGACCTTGCCGCCACCTTCGCCGGCTGCTGGGGGCTCCAGCGGAGTGACGCCCTACGCAGATTCAGATTCGACCTCGCCATCCCTGGGGAGCTGCGATGTGCGAAACTGCTGCCGCCTTCGAGGGCTGCTGGGGGCGCGTGCAGCTTGGCGTGGTGCTGCGCAGATCGGAGCGGGACCTCGCGATCTCTGGGAGGGATACGATCTGCGAAAGTGCTTGGGGCTCCAGCGGAGTGACGTTCGAAGCGAAACTAGATTAGACCTCGCCATCCCCGGGGGGGTGCGACCAGCGAAATTGTCTCCACGTTCGAGGGTTGTTGGAGGTGCCAGCATAGCGGGGGGCCTTACGCATATTAAGACTAGACCTCTGCACCCTTGGGGCGGGACGATACGCGAAACTGGCGCCACTGATTACTGGCAGATCTCGAAACATCATCTCGATCCTTTCTCTGACCGTCTTTTGTCGTCACCCTCGTGCTGTTGCCATGCCCCCTTGCTGCAATCTCGCTTACATTTCCAACTCCCTGTCCGCGTTCTCCTCTTATTCATCGCCTCTCTTTCCCCACGGCCCGGGGAACTAACGAACCACCTCCACCAATCCTGTACCCATTGATCTGTGTCCTGCGGGCCGCGCACCTCGCGAGCCTCCCACATACCATTCGCCGAGCATGCATTCCCTTGCCACGTTACTGCCCTCTATAATGTCTGCCGAGCTATTCTGCCAATGCGTCGCACAAGGGTTTGATACATCGCCAGGGTAATTTCCTCCTCCCCCCCCCTCAGGATTAACGTTCTTGTCGGTGACCAATCACGCTGCATGCTCGTATTTCCCAAGGGGCCATTGCCTCTACCTCCTGCCCACAGCTCGGCCAGGACGGTTGTCCGCAGCGGCGGTTCGCTCGTTTCTCCTCGTCCCCATCCTTGTCTCCTCGGTTCTGAAAGGGTGCGTCGAGTCTTTACGTTTTGCGTGCCCCCACCAGCCCATTCAGAAGCGTTGCCCACGAGAGGTGACGAGGAAGGGGAGGAAGAGACGCGTAGAGTGAATCAAACCCGACAGCCATGGTGACATGATGATGCGGTGGGGGAGGGGGAGGGAGGGGAGGAGGATGAGGAAGATGAGGAGGAGGAGGAGGAAGAGCAGGAGGAGGAGCAGGAGGAGGAGGAAGAAGCTGAGATCGACGACGACGGCGAGAGGACGAGGAGGAGGAGGAGGAGGAGGAGGAGGCGGCGAAGAAGGGAAAAGAGGAGAGGGAGCCAAGG